TCACTCTATACAAATTTGACCCCTTTCCGCGTCAATCTAGTTAATGGTGAAGCTAGCTTGGAGAAATCTTTTACAAACCGGCGATAATACCCAGCTAATTCTGAAATTAGATCTTTGATAAAGCTAAACAAATGGTCTCCATCATGTGGGTAATCAATGCGTCTATAAGCAAGGATTTTCTTCTTTAACTCCCAATCATTAGTCACATAATGGGCAGTCAAGCATGTATGGGCAAAATTCTGATGGTCTGAAGTCCATATATCAGTTGTTAAGGTGATCTTAGAAGAGAGTTCATCCAAAAATTGATATAACTTGGCCTTTTCTATTTCGTAAACATCAAGGACATCCGCTCTAACAGTGTTACGAGGCACAAGTTTGAACATTGGTTGAAGATTATTGCAAAATATTTCAAAAAACTCATGCTCAGCCATGTTAAAAGGATAATTATGCTTGATTATCATCCTAGAAAAATCCACATGACTTCTCTCTTGATCTAATTTAAAAGTTGTAGCCTTAGGAGTAGATTTAGAAGCAGCCTTACTAGCATTCCTAGGGGCATTTGGCCCTTTAAGTACTGGACATGTCTTTGACAAAGACAAATGATTTTTTAAATGACTAGTCCCTTTCCTACTCTCTCCAACAAATTCCCTATTGCAATGCTTACATCTAGCTATGTCATTTCCACTAGGTCCTTTAAATTTGACAAAGTCATCCCATACCTTCGAAGTTAGTTTTCGAATCCTCTTTGTGGATCCTTGAGATACATCGTCATCCAACTCGGCATCATCAGGAATAATAGGTTCGCTATAATCCGAAGACATCTCCAATAGCAACTGCAGACAAGCACAAAACAGTGTGCACCAAACACTTCAATTTGGAAATTATATAGATTTGTGTGCATGTGATCAATCTACTGAAGGGGGGGGGGGGGGAATGAAGTTCAAGCTAATTCACAACCCACACCCCATTTCGTCTCTATAAATCCAACACCAAACATAGCATAACTGAAATAAATTAATTTGGAAATTACTATCCAAAAGTCAACAGAAAAATTTACTCTCAGATTCATAATGGAAAAAGACTTCAAAGCAATTGAGCCATTGATGTTATATATATTGAGTAACTCAAAAATCTTACCTTTCTTTGGTTTTAAGAACATTTCACTACTCAAACAAAAAAGACATTTCCACTGATTGAATTTGTCAGAATATTCCTTCTAAGAAGAACATCTCCAATAGCAATTTTGTTCAAAAAAATCCAGTAAGTTTTCTCAATTAAGAATTACATATGTTTTCACCCTCAAAGTTAGAATTCTGGATCGGTCATTGTGTGGGTAGATATAGAAAAATCAAAACAATGAAGACCCAATTGAAGAGTAAAAGAGAAAGGAACCGGGTTGGACATAGAAAACCATGAATCACTCTAACAAGTATATATGATATTACATTCAAACAAACAACCCAAAGTACCCATCAAATAACAAATATATAGAGTCTCAAAAACATCCAAGAAAATGTTTCAGAATTGATTTTCCATTAAAACAAACAAACCAGACCTCTTATATAAAGGAGAAACACAAGGCAGTACAGAGTAGAAGAATACCTAGATCAGAGAAGTCGGAGAAGAAGACGAAGAATAAGTATTAAGGGTAAGAGATCAACTCCTTCCCAGTATTAAAGGCTAAGATATCAAACACAAACGGATCAGAGAGCTCAACGAAGAATACCTAGATCATAGAAGTCGGTGAAGAAGACGATGACAAATAGATTTGATACTGACCAGAGAGCTCACCGAAGAATACCTAGATCAGAAACAGCATAGGGCTCGATTTGGCTAAGTTCATCGGCATCAATCGCAGCAGGAAGAGACTATGAGAGAGAGAGAGAGAGAGAGATTTGATTATGAGAGAGATCTAGGTTTTGTTTGATGAGAAATGATGAAGAGACGATGAGATGAGAGATCTGATTTGGTTTTTGAGAATTCAATGTAATCGGATTGGGCAAACAAATGGACTGGATCGGATTTATCCGAATCCGATCCGTTTTTAAATCGAGCTATGCGGATACGGACTAAATAGATATTCGGATTCGGATATGTTTAAACGGGTCGGGTAAATCGGGTCGGATTCGGATCAGATTCGGGTTATACCCAATCCGTTGACAGGCCTAGGCTATAGCAGATAAATTGTGGATGGAAGCACGGGTGAAGCAAGGATTTGATTTTAAGGTTTCATACAAAAGCATAAATAGTAAACGAAATAAACTATATCCAGTAAAGCATGAATGATGAAATGTAATTGGTTATAATGTAGGAGACCTTCATATTAAACTAGTTATAATGTTTTTGCACTATACCATATAAAAGCCTTTCTAAAATCAAAGGGGGCCAAGGAAAATATCCGTTGAATGTAATGTTAGAAAGTAGGTCCTATATATATATACAGGAGTTTTAAAATCACCCCTATCTTCACCCTTGGATGGAAGGGTATGGGAAAAAAATTGGTGGTTAAACCTTTCCTTCCCTTCCCCTTGAACATGTTTATTTGTAGGAATGGGGCAGGGGTGGGGTTTGTGGTATCACATTCTCACCCCATTCCTTGATAGAGTAGGTGTGGGAAAAGTGGGGGCGATGATAGGAGCACAAGGAGGTGACAAGGTAATTTGCCACCTGTAGGAGGGGTGGTACTAATGAGAGATGATATGATATATGAGGGAGAATGATTATGAGTGATGAGAGGTAAAAAAAATTGAAGATGAGAGAGAAAGAGATGAAAAATGAGAGATATGTTTATGTTTTGGTGTTTTAATTTCATTATATTTAACAAATTAAATTATGTATAAATGTATACACATAAAAAGGTTTTTTCTTGTCGAGGTGGGGTGGGAATCTTGTAGGTGGGTAAAGAGGTATTTTCTTAAAAATATATTTATTGTTACTCTCTTTGAATACTAGAAGATTCCCGAAGTTCTAATAACGCATCATTACCCACCTATTTTCTTAATAAAATATTTAATGCTACATTATTAGATGAAAATAGGTGGGTAATGATACAATACTAGAAAAGTTCTTGAATCTTGTAGTATTCAAAGGATAGTACCTTGATTGTGTTAATTCTCGAGTTCCTCATGTGAATAGAACAAGGATTAAGCTACTGGGTACTTTTGAATTGTGACTGCTGCAGTTGTAAACTATTCTCTTATTCATTTTCCAAGTTTGTTGACAATTCCAAAGTTTTTTTTTTCTTTTTTTTGATTTCATCTTGGCCTCTCCCTATTGTTTTAAAGGAACTTGCACAAGATACACTTATGTTGGAATTGGCACGAGATCGTGCAGTGGCTGCAACTCAAGATTCTCAGGCCAAGGCATCCTCTTTGACTAATGCAGCTGTGGGTGCTTCTCTTGGAGCCGGTCTTGGTATCATCCTAGCTGTTGTCATGGGCGCAGCATCTGCCCTAAGGAAACCATGATATCCAAAACAGTTTTGGTCCTTTGTCGTCCAATGGCATATCCGCCAGATGTATAATGAGTCAGCTAAAAAGGTTTTATATCTGTGTTCTGTTGGTGTATGTGATTTTAATCTTACTAGATTATAATTATTTTTATCTGTAGCAGATGACCTAGCTTCCATTTATTCATTTTGTTAATAGACCAAACGTTGACCTACTTTTATAAGATTTTTTCTTAATGTCTATTGTAGGTTCAGTTCTCTGCTAGCATGGAGAATTTAATTATGAAGTTAAAGCCACACCTAGAGTAGGTGAGTTTCAGAAAACATCAAATGTAATTATTATTCGTGGCTAAAATTTATATTTCTTTATTGCATGAAAAATTATTAAATATTCTCGAAATAGCTCAGGCTAATCATGTGCATTGTTTACATTGTTACTTCTGCCTAATTAGAAATCACAGTTACAAATCACAATAAGTGAATTAGTATTAGTTGTCTCAAAGTACTTAACAAAGGTGAGTCCTGTAAACTTTTTCGTTATGTGATTGATTTGGAACAAAAACTGAAAAATAGACTTGCCTCTCGGTCCAGTGGCCTTGAGGCCTGTTGACCCGTGAAAGAAATATGATTTTGACACTGAAGTTTCATTGTTAACTATATATTTTAGTTAAAAAATTATTATAAGTTGTTATATTACTCTTTTTATTTTTTTTAATAAAAAATTAAAAAATTATTAAAATAATCTATTTTCAAACGAGGTCTTAAAAAACATATAATCACAATGCTAAAACCTCTATCTGTGACCGTTTGTTTGTGTTTGTGTTTTGTTTTGTTTTTTTGTTTTTGTTTTTTTTTTATTTTTTATAATAATTTTTTGCTCAAAGTTGTATATGAGAATTTGATGATTTTCAAATGGAAAATTACTCATAAATTTTATATGGAGAAATATTGATCCATTTAATCCTAAGAATTTTTATTTATTTATGAATTAATTAGTTCTTTTTGTTTTGGAACGTTATAATTATTTGATTTTGTGTATTTGGGTTTAAGTAAATATCCTTTTTGTGGTTCATTTTTTTAATTTTTTGATTTGTTTTTTGGATGTGAATGAAAATGTGAGGTGTCGAAGATTTTTTTTGGGGGGGATTGATGTTGAAGTGTTGGTTGTTGAGCGTGGAACTCTACATTTTTTTTAGTGTTGATTTTCTAGTGTTATGTTTGAAACAAGTATATTAAAAAGTTTTTGTGTTACATTAATTGAGATGTTATGTTTGGAAAAAAATACATTAAGAAATTTTTTTTACAATATTATGTTGTTACATTTGAGAAAAAATACGCTAATAATTTTTTTTAGAATGTTACGTTTGATAAAAATATATTAAAGAGTTTTTAATGTTTGGATAAATTACAAATACACCCTTTAAAGTTTGTTTAAAATATGAATTGCTCCCTGTAGTTTGAAAAATTACAAATATCTTTTTGTCAGAATTTTTTATTTAACAGAATTATTTGAAAAAGTGAAATTTCTAACTGGTCACCTATATAATAATAAAATTATTTGAATTATTAATTGAAATAAAATTTTAACATTATTAAAAACTGTTAATTAACTTGATGATTTATGAATAAAAATGACCTATTTGTTATAAAATTAAAAACCTTAGGGGACATAATGTAATTTCTAAAATCACAGGATAATTTATAATTTAAATAAACATCAGGGAGTGTGTTTGTAATTTACCCTTAATGTTTTATATTGCGGTGTTACTTTTGAAAAAAATACACTAATAATTTTTTTTTAAATGTTATATTAACACATTTGAGAAAAGTACAATTTTTTTAGAATGCTTCATTATTACACTAAAGAATTTTAGTACATTACATTAGAGTATAAAGCTTTTGAAATATTATGTTTGAAAAAAAATACACTGAGAATTTTTTTTAAAATATTACGTTTAGTAATTTTAATATTATAAAAAAATTCACATTTGTTCCCAATCACAAACAGATAAACGTTTATACTTGGTCTTTTATATTATTCACACTAAAATAGGACGTTTAGATTCATAAAAAAATAAAATGAAATAAGAAAACCAAACAATTCATAAAAATCGCTATTTAAAATTTATTGATGTTGCACCTATCAAATCCACCATATGATATTGGACAAATCACTATGAAGTACAATAAAATATATGAAATTTTGGGTGATTGCATAATCCAGTAACAATATATAATCGTAAAACCCAAAAAATTACATATACTTCCCATCACAGTTTAATCCCCCAATGCTAAAATTCACATCAGGGAAAAGCAACACGATCAACCAATCAACAGGCCACATAAAGATAAAAGTACTAAGCTTGTAAATTACCTTCAAAATGGAAGGAACTAATAAAAACAAGAAACTAATGTGTAGAAAAGCTAAACTAGAGAAATCATCCGGAACAACAAGATAAAGCTCCCTTATTTTGCTTGCCGGACCCATCAACGAGGGTAACACGATTGACAGATAATTCGGCCTTGTAGGAATCAGAGTTCAAGACTCTCCTGCTGACATTGCTGTAGATTTCACGGATAACGATCTCAAATGCTGCCGTAACATTAGTGGAATCCAGTGCAGATGTCTCGATGAAGAACAATCCTTCTTCCACTGCAAGGTTTTTGCCTTCTTCTATGCTCACTTCTCTGATATTCTCCAAATCACACTTGTTTCCGACCAGCATTCTTGCTACTGTTGTATCACAATGAACTGCGTGGTTATTCCATTCAGAGTTAGTCTCACTGATTGCCAAGCACAAAAATGTATAATGACAGATTTCAGATACAAAATGTCGAAGACAGACAGAAAATGAGAGGGAAAGGAAGCTAAACTTTTACGATGCTTATGATAAAATAACTTTTAGTTTCATGATCTGCAGAAGAGGTCCGTTTGAAATATCATTGTCAAAAACTCTAGATCATCTACTTATATTGCACAACTTTCTCACACAATCTTTTGAAAGTACTTTTCTGCTAAAAAATTCAAAAACAAGCGAGTCTGGGATGGCTTAACCATAAAAGAACAACTTTTTTAGCGAAATGGTGAAAACACAACTTTACCCTCACTACTTTCAAAAATCCCAGTGTCTCCACAATAATATGGTAATTTCTTAGGAAAAACAAGTTTGAAAAAACCTCGAAAAGCTAGCATCAGTTTTTTCAGATTCTAAAAAAGAAAAAGCCCTAAACTAAATAAAGGAATTTCTTTCTCTAGAACCTTCAACCTCTTGGCTCTATTAAGCCCCCTACACAGCAACTACTAGTCGCCTCAAATTGGTACACCTTTTTGAATCTCCATCCACCCAATGCATATCCTGTTTTCACCTTGTTTGTGCTCTGAATAGATTAATGCAAAGGACAATCCTTCACCCAATTTTTTGCCCTAGTTACCAATGTGATCAGCTGTTTTCAGTCAGATATGCCTCATCAAAATTTTCCCCTTGTCATTGATGTAAAAAAACAGGAAGGTAGGGGACCATGTTCCCTGTCTGTATGTAGCATCCTATTATTGCATACACCCATGAATAAGTGTATGGCTACTTTTATTTAATAGTTGAAAAATGTTGTTCAAGTAAAGAATCATCCTATATATAGTCTGTATCAGAACAAAACAAACAAACAAACAAACAAGTCATTATGTTACGTTCTGTTGTTATGCAAACAAGCAAGTCAAGCCAGAGTCATGTTAACATACACCGTTGGTATGTCTCTCTAGTCTCCAGGACTTTTCTATACTACCAAAAACAAAAAGGTTTTTCGAAACCATGCCCAACAATTAATTCTTATCTTTGTATTTGAATTCTAAAAAATTTCAGCCATTGATTAGTAATATCAAAACCAGGATATAAAAAACAAACGAGATTTCCAAAAAATCAAGTGGTTTTCATTGTTTTACTCACCAATGGAATTTGGAACTGACTTTAATTTAATACACATTATGACCCTAATACACTATTGATACCTTACTTCTTTTTTTTTGGTATGGAACCCAAAATTTCCCCTTTTGTACCATAGTTGGATCCAACGTCCAGTTTTGTATGATCTAGGATAATGTGGCAGCTGACCGATCAATGCGACTTACATTTTGTATAAAAATTCCGGTAATATTTCATTTTTTTTCTAACAAAAGCTGATATTTTTGCCAATCAAGAATGCATTAGACAACCATGCCAATCCCAATTTGTAATTCAGAGCATCCAATCACGGCCTAATAATTCAGAGCATCCAATCACGGCCTAATAATTTCCAGCACAAAACAAAGCAAAATCAAGCAATACTAATCTTTAGAATTGACCAAAATCCAGAAAAATGCACTACTTGGGGTTTCAATTTCAAAATCATTAGAACACCCAAAATGGTTATTCAAACACAAATTCAGATTCACAGCAACAATTTCAATAACAAGCAATCAAACCCACAAAACAGAACAACTAATAAATAGATCGATTAAAATAAAATCGACTTACTCTTGAGTTCATCGAGCCACCGCTTGATGCTATCGAAAGTAGTCCGGCGAGTGATATCGTAGACGACGAGAGCACCAACAGCGCCTCTGTAGTAGGCGGAGGTGACGGCGCGGAAGCGCTCTTGGCCGGCGGTGTCCCAGACCTGGGCTTTGATCTCCTTGCCATCAAGCTCCATCACCTGGGTCTGAAACTCTACTCCCACTGTGGCTTTTGAGTGCAAATCGAACTCGTCTCTCGCAAATCGCGAGAGCAAGTTCGATTTTCCCACCGCTGAGTCCCCAATCACCACTATCTTGAACAAGTACTCTTCTCCTTCTAATTTCTCCATTTTTGTTTGGTTTGTTTGGGTTAGAGAGAGAGAGAGAGAGAGAGACAAAGAGAGACAGACAGACAGACAAACAATCTGTTTGTTGATAATGGCGGAAAGTGGTGATGAGTTTGGAAAGGAGTGAAGTTAGCAGAGACTAACTCCGTAATTGACGCACGTCTTGATAAAAATGTTCCAAGTGTTATTCACTCACATTTCATTTTTTTTTTTTAAATTTTTTGGAATAGAATTATTAAAAAGCTTTATATTTTTGAAAAATAATGAAAAAAAAAATTTTAGTGAAAAAATTGACTGGGACCCTTACTTTTTTTTATAGTCAAAAATAAAAATAAAAAAGCTTCATTTTTATGACTTAAAAAGTCGAATAAAAAGTCGAAACCAATTAAAATCTAAATGCATAGTGCGAATACATACGCTTAGTTAGAGAATAAGGTGAAGCAATTATTTTAAAGTATAATCTTATGAATTATTTAATATTTTTTTGAAAAAATTAGTCTAAGGTCACTTTTTCACTTTTAATAATGGAAGAGATTCACAATTTTATTTTATGATGTCTAAGGTCTTTCAACCCCATACTCATATATCACAGAGAAATTTAAGAATAATTTTATCATATATCACAGAAAATATCCAAATCCTCCTCCTCGTCATCATCATCATCATCAACAACAACAACAACACTAGAACAATCAACAACAATTACAAAGGGCATCGTCGGTGTAGAAATGGATCTGACACACAAGAGACATTAAATTTGAGATTTGGCAAATCAACAATCAAAATTGAGAGAAATTTTGGATCTGTAAGAGCGTACCACGCGATTCAACAACGGAGTACTGTCGATGAGTCTGCACAAGTCCAAATCGTTCCCGCACTGGTTCAGTAACAACGCTTTGAAGTCGAAGTCAGACCTAGAGTGGAATCTAGTGGGGTAAGTTACACTAACATCGTAATAGTCCCTCGAAGCTCATTGAATCATGAAGCAATTGGCTGGTCAATTTTTGTTTATGACTGGGATTATTGTCAGGTTAGATTCAAAAGCAAGATAAAAGTTAGCAACAGTTCACTCCATTGAGTAAATAAGCAACAATAGCAACCTATATATATATATATATATATAAATAAATATGTGTTTTTGTGCAAAGAGAAATCAATTAATGAATAACATAAACCATGAGCACAGAATCCTTGCCTGAGAATGCTAATACTGATCAGATCTATGTTGTTTGTCAGGACGATGTGCTCACTGAATTTCTCTGGAGAGAAATTCCGAAGTGCAGAGAAATTCCGAAGTGCAGAGAAATTCCGAAGTCCAGAGAAATTTGGTTAAAACACAGAGAATCCAGAATTGGAGAGAAATTTCTCTAGTGGGTGGAACGTAGAGAACCTTGCAGCTTTGATTTTTCTCAAGGGACGGTGGGTTAGCAAAGCATCAATGATCCAATTTTACTTACCATTTGTCATCATATTTGGTCTGGGAATCACCTTCGGAGAATGGACTTTCATAACGTTCTTGGCCTTATTCACCTTCCTTCTAGTAGGTTGGTTTCTTCTTGGTACTTACTTCTTCAGGAATTTGATCAAGTTGTAGCCTTATGGTGTGTACCAACTTTAGTTTAACAATTGCATGTGGATTTCATGTATGATGTACCTAAAATCACCAAAAAATACTCTGATTTGCACTATTTTGGGAATTGGATAAGACATTTTCATAGCATAGAAAATCAAAAAAAAATTGAACAAACCAGAGAAACTGGTTTGAAATTTCTCTGGATAGAAATTTCTCTGCATCGATTTGAGGGATCTTAGACATTATGAAAATATTGAATGTCCTTTATGCTATAAAATCTTAATATCAGGGACCCTAAAAAAAATCCCCTATTTTTTTTTTTATCTTATGAATTTAAAAGTTCTATTAAAATAAAAATTATATAAAAGGTAATTACTAAATTTTTTAGAGATAAAAATTGTTTTATTTAATTATGAAATTATATATTTGAACAATCCACACTATAGAGGTTTTCGATTTTTCCTTATTTTGAAACAAATCTCACATTATGAACAAGTATGTAATACTCCAATGTAATATGTAAAAAAATTTCTTAGTGTACTTTTTCCAAACATAATACTCTAATGTAACACATAAAAAAATTCCTTAGTATATTTTTCCTAAACGTAACACTCCAATGTAACAAATAAAAAAAAAAAATCATTAGTATACAAAAACACTAAAATACATAACACTTCCAGTTTAAAATTATGCATAACACTCCAATGTAATATATACAAAAACACTAAAAAATTTATGAATGTATTTTTTTTTCCCCTAAACGTAACACTTACAGTTTGAAATTATACATTGCCTAAAGCTTACTATTGAATTTTTGTACTTCTTTTGAAATGGTTTGAAGAATCCCACATTCTTTTGAAATGGTTTGAAAAATCTCACATTTTTTTTAGTTTTACATTGAAATGTTATGTTTAAAAAAAGTACACTAATGTTTCGTTTGGCAAAGCAAGTTCGGATTAAAAAGTACAAAAAAAAAAAAAATAGGTTAAATAAGCTAATAAAACTAAATGTCACGTTCAAATTATAATCATTTCACTTTTTTCTCACAAATGTCAAAAAAACTTTTAAAAAAAAAGCTACCAAAATACTTTTTAGTCCCAAACTAAAAAAGTTCAACTCCAAAAAATTAACTAAATTTTTTTTTGCCAAACGACAACCAAGGATTTTTTTATGTGTTAAATTGAAGTGTTACACTTAGGAGTTTTTTTGGAGTGTTATATTGAAATATTACGTTTAGAAAAGTATACTAATAAATTTTTTTAGACTATTACAGTTTGAAATTATACATTTGCTCAAAGTTTGCTAAGGAATTTTTGCACTATTTTAAAATGTTTTAAGAATCCCACATCCTTTTATAATATTTGAAGAATCTCATATTTCAAAGAAAAATATTTCAGACCACTAATTCCACACCACTAATAGACCACTAATGACGTATCGAACGTAGACCCCACCATTGATGTGATAATTGAGCAATGCTATATACCACTAATTTGTCATTACTAATCCCACTACTAGTGAGGTGGCAATTGAAAAAAAAAAAAAAAAACAAGGCACAAAACACATGTGGCAGTGGGTGCCACCACTAATTAGTGGTCTAAAGCATTTTTGATGATAATTTGGCCCTTTTTTTTTTTTTTTTTTTTCTCTTGCATTGCTAGCTCATTAGATCTGGCATTAGTGCTCCAAAATTAGAGCACTGAATCAGTGTTGTATTTCAAATCATTTTTATATTCCTTTTGAAATGTTTGAAAAATCTCACATTTCAAGTCATTTCAAATAAAAAAAAATTTCCATATAAAAATTCATTTCAAATTTGATTCCCATAGGTCATCTATTTTACCTTTCTAGCACAAAAGAAAAAAGAAGAAGAAAGAAACGTAATAGAAATAAGTGAATAACTGTAAATTTAATTTTCAAATAATATATTAAATCTACATTTTCAAAATCAATGAGATTAATTGGTTTATAAAAAAATCTTTGAGACTAAACGGATCGCATTTTCTCAATGTAGGATTCATAAATAAATTTTCCTAGATAATATATGGGGAAATAAAAAATAAAAAGTGGAGCCCACTCTTGTTTATTTTGTGTTTAATTTTATGATCGTATTTTGTGTCTGATTTTGTTTTATTACCCCCTCCCTCCCAAAAAACAAGAAAGATGTTAATTTTTTTTACAGAACTACTACGTAGCTCGAGTAACGTTTGGCCCGAAATGGCTCGAATCCAAAACGACATCGTTTTGGGGGTTTTTTTTTTTCTTTCTTTTCTCTGTTCTGAAATCGAGAGGATAAAGATGATGAAGAAGAAAAAGAAGAAGAGAGAAGATAGAGCTGGGGACTAACAACACATCATGAACATCAACAACCAGCAATCATAAACAAAAAAAAATTGTATATACAGATCATCAAATTTTATACACAGATCATAAAAATAAAAAAATAAAAAAAAAACCGAGAGAACATCATCATCAACACCAGAGAGCATCATCATTATCAACACCAGATTTCATCATCATCAACACCAGATCATCTTCTTCATCTTCTCTCCTTCTTCATCTATACACACACATAATATATATGAGAGAGAGAGAGAGAGAGCACCAGATCTGCGTGATGATGCTCAAATATCTATATATATATACACACACATACACATCTCTATATATATATATGAGAGATAGAGAGAGGGCTGCCCACCGATAGAGAGAGAGAGAGCCACCAATCGGCCAATCGACGCTACCATCAACGCCATCACCGTCTTCTTTTTCTCTTCCTCTCCCTTCTCTCCATATTTTCTCCTCTTCTCTCTTTCTCGCATCTTCTCTCTTTCTTTTCTGTTTCAGAGAGGGAAGGGAAAGAAAGAAGAAGAAAAAGAAAAAAAGGAATACCCAACACGACGTTGTTTTGGGTATTTGAGCCAATTCCAACTAATGGTTTTCGAGCTACCAAGTATTATCTATATATTAAATCAAAATAAAACAAAATTCTTTCATTTTATAACATTTGGTACGCATTTTATAATTTTATATACTAAATATAATATTGAAAAAAGGGAACAGCTCGGACTGGACGGTGCTGTTCGGCCTGTGGGGGCCCACCACGGGTTTCGTTTTGATAATCTGAACCGTTCAATGTGTAAAAATCGTCAGTACTATATGTCATAAAAAATTACGTTGATCGGATATCAATAGCAAAGTGATCAAATTAATTTTATATTAAAAAAATGAACGGTGAACAAATTAACGGTTGACAAAAAATTGATCCAATGCGATAGTTATTGATATCCAATTAACTTGATTTTTTAGAAGCACATAGTACTTGACGAGTTCTACACATTGAACGGTTTGAATTATTAAAACAGAATCCATAATAAACCTGAATACCCAACACGACGTTGTTTTGGGTATTTGAGCCAATTCCAACCAATGGTTTTCGAGCTACGAAGTATTATCTATATATTAAATCAAAATAAAACAAAATTCTTTCATTTTATAACATTTGGTACGCATTTTATAATTTTATATACTAAATATAATATTAAAAAAAGGGAACAGCTCGGACTGGACGGTGCTGTTTGGCCTGTGGAGGCCCACCACGGGTTTCGTTTTGATAATCTGAACCGTTCAATGTGTAAAAATCGTCAGTACTATATGTCATAAAAAATCACGTTGATCGGATATCGATAGCAAAGTGATCAAATCAGTTTTATATTAAAAAAAAATGGACGGTGAACAAATTAACGGTTGACAAAAAATTGATCCAATACGATAGCTATTGATATCCAATTAACTTGATTTTTTAGAGGCACATAGTACTCGACGAGTCCTACACATTGAATGGTTTAAATTATTAAAACGAAATCCATAATAAACCTCCACAGACTGAATAATACCGTCCAATCTGATTTGGAATAGGAGACAAGCTACCCCTTAAAAAAAAAAAAAAAAAAAAAAGCATGGGTTTGTGCAAAAAAAAAAGTTTGGGAGGATGCTTTTTTTTAAGGTTATGCTCTTGAAAAAAATGCAAGCAAAGCTTTGGATCTGATAAATTTGGTCAAGGTTTTGTGCTTTTGAGATTTGTTTATTTTAAAGTAGTTGTTTTTTAAGTTTATTTATTTATTTTTGATATTGACAGGTAA